CCTTGTGGATAGTAGCAGTAAAACATTTCTGAATCTCAGAAAACCCTGTTTGCTGCAGGGCCAAGAAGGGGGAAGAGAGGTAGAAATCATGATTCTATTCCTCATTTGCCTTAGAACCTTAGGTCTCCTGCTGCATTGTCTCGTAGCTCCCTGTACTCCTCCCTTGCAGCACTTTTTATGATTACAAATCCTAAGTTATCTGTGTATTTGCTTGATGCCTATCTTCTTTGCCAGAATCTAAGTTCTATGAGGCAGGGGCCCTGATGATCTTATTTGCTGCTTATCCCAGAGTCCCTCCTGTATAGTCGGCGTTCAGCAAATACCTGTGGACTGAATTATGACTGGAATGAGGACTCAAGATGGAAAAATATGTGTTCCCTGTGATGGGGCCCTCAGCAGCTGGGACAAGGGGGTGTGTTGGGTGATTGCCCTGAGACCCTGAAATGATGCTGGAAGGGTGAGCGCCTGGGGGATTTGCCCAGGTGCTCCAGTCTCCCGTCTTCCCAGGCTTGGGACATTCAGTCAGCCAAGTCTCCTGTGAAATTTGGTGAGTTGCTCTGAAGGAAAGAACTTTGTTCTCTCAAGTCGTCTTTCCCATAATTCCCCTTCTCTCCCGTGCCTTTCTTCCCCCTCCACCTCCCTCCTTTCTTTCTAGCCTGCTGTCTCCAATTCACACGGAGCTCTCTCCTCCCCCACTCCACCTTCTCTAGCAGGAGGCTGGGCTGACACTCACCATCCTATACAAAACCATGCCTGCCCCAGCTGGGGCTCTGCCTGGAAGTGATAACGCTGACTGATTACTTCATGACCATGTGAGTACTCCATGTCTGGACTACACTCAGCAGGGGGCATGACCATGGCCTCAGACCCAAGTTTCCAGGCAACTGAAGACTAACTTCCTTATTTTTGTGGATAGCATCAGCTGTCTCCCACCGCCTGGGTTTGGTTGGTCCCCTCTACCTGTCCAATCCTCTGTAGAAGGCATGGGCAAACGGGGATAGTTGTCCAGGAGGGGTCTCTAGAAATGGGAGGAAAGCTGAAGGGTTCACTTAAAGAGGTTCTCTTTGGGGCGCCTGGGTGGCTCAGTCGTTAAGCGTCTGCCTTCGGCTCAGGCCATGATCCCGGGGTCCTGGGATCGAGCCCCGCATCAGGCTCCCCGCTCAGCGGGAAGCCTGCTTCTCCCTTTCCCACTCCCCCTGCTTGTGTTCCCTCTCTCTCTCTCTCTCTCTCTGTCAAATAAATAAATAAAATCTTTTAAAAAAAAGTTCTCTTTGGAGAGACGGAAGATGCAAAATGTATTCCAGCAGGACTTGTTAAATCCAGGGGGTCACAGGAAGGAAGTAACCTTCCTGTGAAGTGGGTCATTTTGATGAGGGAAGTGGATCTCCTCCAGCCTCTCTGTGAGGTCCCTGATGAAATACAACAAAATGCTATTTTCTTGGCCTTCTGGGCTGGGACAGCTGCAACACGACTTCATACACCTGAATCTTCCAATGGATCTGGGTTGTCTGTTCTAAGGAGCTGTGGCTTGTGGAGGCCCCTAGCACAATGCTCTGATGTTTATTGTACAAAAACAGGGAGGGGGGACTCCCTTGGGATTAGCCTTCTCATGTCAGTTTGCTTGGTCCACTGTGTTTGTTGCTGAAAACTTCAGCTACTCAAATTTCGGTATTTTTGCCTCGCAGATGACCGGTGGTATACTGGTGAAGGGTAAGCCCTTACGTGCAGGGTTTTCTTATAGATGAATGATCTCCAGTGTCTTCCATTGAGAATCATTGCCATAGTGAGCCATTGTTACTTATAGAGTGTGCTCTATTGTTTATGTTTATTGGGGTGGAAAAGGTTGCGGGTCACTATGTAAGACACAGAAGGTGATTTGAAGCTTCTCTCTGTAGAATGTGGACCGTGAGTCACCCCAAGGTTCCTTTCTCTAGAATATGGAAGGTGATTTCTCCTGGGGGAAATTTACATGGAGAACTTACAGGAAAATGAGCTACAAGTTTCTATCCCACGGCCTTTGCTGTCTCTGGGCTCTTTGTCAGGACCTAGTGGATCTGAGTGGCACTGAGGAGCCTGGCTAGGATGGGCATGGCATGAAAAAGGAGTGTCCTGGGGACGGAAATGTAGTAATCTTTTTCTGGTGTGTGCAATAGGATAGCATGCAACCAAAAAATGTATCCCAGTGAAGCAATGGGACCAATTCACCAAGTAGGCTAAGAGGCATCATGGTAAAGAAGTGTTTTGGGTTCTGATGGACAGCAAGTCTTGCCATGTCCTCATGAAACTCTTCTAAGAGCTATTTTCTTTCCAGGCTACTGTTATAATAGTCTCCAGGTGAAATGCCATCATTCCACTCTGCTGTTGTCAGCTGGAATGGAATGGGGGTGGATACAGAGGGTTCTGGGACCCTTGTCTCTCAGAGATAATGACAACAGAGTCCTGACTGAAGGTATCTCCCTGAAACATGAATTGCTGTGGACGAGTTGGGTACGCAAGGGTGGGTGCTGTGGTAAGATAACTAAATTTGTTTGGTGCTTTACAGCACACAGTTTATAATGGTTTCTATATCTACTGTTTGCATCCTAAAACAGTCCTTCAGGTCAGCAGGGCAGGCTTTAATTGGAACACTTTGTAGATATATAAACTAAGTCTCAAAGGGACTTGCCCGGAACTATACAGTTAGTAAGTTGCTGAACCAAAAGTTAAACCGGGAGTTTGGGTTTCAAGGTCATCCCTCTTGGGTTTTGCTGAATTGCTAAAAGGCAACCTGAGCCACAGGACTCTGATACTGGTTGCCCTTATTAACTGGCCACTCAGGAAAAACCAAGTGCCACAGAAACTCGAGGACACAAAGAACTGCCAGACAAAAGCATCAGGAGCTCCCACTTGATTACCATATTTAGGACTTCTTGAGTAAGACTAAATAACCTAGGAATGCCCAGCACCTTTTGAGAAAATTTCTCAAGCTAGTTATGTAACCTGTGCTTCCGGGGGTATTATGGGTTGATCCACACACGTGGGGAATACTCAAGACTGAGCAGGGCAAAGCAATGTTTCCTCTGTGGGTGACTGTGAATAAAGCAGTCCAGCTCTGGCCCTAACGTCACAAGGGTGTGGGACCTGTCGCCTGATGAACCTCTTTGAGTCTATCCAAAACCTTGTTGATCACAAGCCTCTCTCAGAATATAAAATTATCCCCCAAGGAATCCGAAACCATCTCCTGTTCCTCTTGCTGCTTCTTTGAACTATGCTGCTAGCTTCCTGTTCATTACCTCTGTCTTAATGTTCAGTTTTGCAAGCAAGGAGTCCTTTTGCAATTGTTTGAAAAGCTTGTAGGTGAGAGGCAGCAGCTCCGGTTCCTTCACTATCAGCTGATTTCACACAAAATGATCTTTTGTCTTTCCAAAGATAAAAAGCACCTTGGAATATGTCTCATTAGCCGCTAAAATGTAGAGATGAAACTCTTCCATCTAGGGAAGCTCACAGAGAGGCCTTAACTCCAGCCCAGAGAGAGTTAATTCCCTAACAGTATCTGGGCCTGGGGCAGGAGATGCATGCTTCAGAGCCAGGGGTAAGACAGCTGGGTGTTGGAAAGTACCTATTTATCAAGGGCCCGAGGCCAGCCTTGGGTTGTCTGGGATCAGGATCTCCTTATGGGGACACTCAGGACTAGTGACTTCCACTAGGCTGGTGTTTTACTGAGCGGGGAACGTGGGCTTCGGTCAAGTGGGGCAATAGAGTGGCCCAGATGGGGAACCAGCAGTCGGTGAGAGGGCAGCCCCCACTGCAGCCGTCAAGGAGAAGGTAACCCCTGCCCCTGTGGGGCCAGTACCATTCTGGGCCACAGCACATGCTTTTAGGGGAGCTTGGACAAGTGATCAGAGGCCGGAGCAGGGCCTCGGCAGAGATGTGCTGGGGGCACAGACACCTGAGATTGAAAAGAAAGCAGATCAGTTCAGATACCTCTCATAGTTAATAGTCCTCAGTCCAATACTACAAGCCCTAAGATAAAGTTGTCAGCTGAGCTAGGTCCACACATCCACTCCTCTTAAGGAGTGCCAAGTCCCACTGTCCTTGCTCTTTGCTCTCTCACGCATTCTCCCAATCAGGGTTTAGGCTCTTCCCTTGGCTGAGCCCCACACCCTTAAGGAACACATTTCTGTCAGTGTAGTTCCCTTGTAAGCCGTATGAGGGCAGACCTCAGAAGGATACAGATAATCTGGAACTTTAGTGCCCCCCCTCCCCCGCCAACCTCAGCAGCAGTCAGAGACCCTGACCCTTACGTGTCTGAAACAGAGGCTCCTCCTGCCACTAGCTTTCCGCCCAGCTATAGGGGTGGAGTGAGGAAGGGGAGCCCCCTCTTTTTCCACCCCACCAGGGGACAGCTCAAGGTGAGACATTAAAGGAGCCTCAGACGCCACTGAATGAGCCTGGAAGGGAAAGAACACTTTTCAGTCTCCTGTCCCCGGCCTTGGCCTGCAGCCCAATCCATGGCGGCCCTTTCAGGAGCTTTTAGTGGAAATTCGCCCAGACCAGCTGGAGTCCGCCAGCCCCTCCCACTGCTCTCTCATCTCCTCTTCGGTCTGACTGGGACCACCCCCCCACCGGCCCCTTCCGTAAACCGCCCCCCTCCCCCCCCCCCAGCACCGGCCTCTCTCACCCCTCCTTCCTTCCACCCCAGTCGCCACATCTCCCTCCCAGGCTTCTCTCTCTCCTGCCAAACCCCTGCCTTCCAGCTCCCTTCCACCCCTTGTCTTGAAGCTAGACGAAGAGAGAGAGAGCCCCTGATGGGACTGAAAGCCATTCCCCACACCCTCCCGCCTGCCCCTCCCCCAATGGGGACAGATTCCCACTACAAAAGGCAGGAAGCAGAGGCTTCCTGAGACCAGCTGCTCTCCACTCCTTTGCCTTCTGCTGTCTAGACTGGGCTGTGTCTTTGCTCCCACTTTCTTCAGGGGACAGTGGGTACCTGCAGTGCCAGGCCCCCTACCTCATTCCCCATGAATGCTGTGGAAAGTCCCGAGGGGCAAGAGCTCCAAAAGATGGGGAGTGGAGCCTGGGACAACCTTGCCTACAGTGGTCCCCCCTCCCCACGTGGGACACTGAGGATCTGCACCATCTCCAATGCAGTGCCCCCCCAGCCCCAACCCAAAAAGCCTGAAGATGGATCCCAGGAGAAAGCCTATAGGACCCTGGTATCCAGCTGCTGCTTCCAGATCTGTCGTGGCATCAGAGGTACCTGGTGGGAGGAGGGTTCTCATGGGATACTGGAGTTAGGAAGGGAGTCCCAAAAAGCTTTAGGGGAGAGATGAGAAGGGTATGGAGGGAGTTAGCTTGAAGGAGGACATGTTTGTGATGATCCCCTAGACTGTCCCACCTGAAACAAGGACCTCCTTTCCATGTCTTCATTCTCTGCTACCCAATGTCTTTTCCACTGTCTACCTCAGGGTGTTTGATGAAGGAGGGCAGACTTGAGTGTGGCTAGAGTAGCCAGATTCAGCCAAGATACATGGTGATGGGTGAGCAAAGGGCCGGGGTAGAAATAGGAGTAAAATCCAGGGACTGGTGGGTTGGGCATCTGGGAGGAACCTGCTGCTAGCGATCCTAGGCATCTCTGTCCCTTAGGACTTTGGGGAACAACCCTGACTGAGAACACAGCTGAGAACCGGGAGCTTTACGTCAAAACCACCCTGCGGGAGCTGTTAATATACATCATGTTCCTGGTGGACATCTGTCTCTGTGAGTAACATCTGTCTCTGTGTACCTCTGGCTGTGAGAAGCATCTATGTGTACAACATCTGTATACACACTTCCACAGCAATGCCTGAGGAGACAGCATCTATCTGTGAGCCAGCTATGTCCTGGGATTGATTACCTTTTTGGCTTAAGATGTTTTGATTAAAAAGAACTTGTCACTGAGTTCAGGAGAAGAAGACAGATTGTTAGAAAGCAGTTAAAGTTACTTTGTCAAGAGTTGCAAGGGAAATATAGTCTTTAAGTTCACGTTCCTGACACCAACTCAGCAGCCACCAAGTTCTGTTGGCAAGTGGAAGTTTTTACCCTTCTATAAAAAGTGGGGAATGGTTCCTTTCTATTTGGAACGAAAAATAGTTTGGTGGGTTTCACATGGTTGTTAGGCTAGGTCTGATCCCCATTTCTTTAAAAGCAGAAGGAGAAAGGTTCAGCAGGCCTTAGGGCTCAGGATCCCAATAAAAGGGCTAAAGATGCAAGTGGTATAGTTGTGGTCAATGCAGCTAAGATTCTCCCACGTGAGAGACCACCATGCCTCAGGCATTGAAGGAAGCTTATTTGAAGTTCTAGCTACAGACACAAACTGGAAAGGTTTGGTGTCTGATTTGAGAGTACCAAGTGAAAGGATAGAACAAGTGCACCATGGAAGGATAGAGTCAAAGAATTATAGATTGAAGGTAGAGGCTCTGAATTTACACAGACTTGGGTACAAACACCAGGCTCTACCATTCACCAGTTGAGGAAACTTGAGCAAGTTGCTTAATTTCAGTTTAACTGAGTTTCAGTTTCCTAATCCATACCTATCCAATCCAATAAGATTATATGAGGTTCACATGAGATAATATTCCTGAAGTCATTACCCCAGTAAAGAGTAACTAGTACCAGTAAATAAATAGGCATATGGTAAAAAATATTCCATAATGGTCACCACCCTTGTATCCAGACCTGATGCCCTCCCTATATGAAGGGCTCCCTACATGATGCCCAGTACTGGACAAAATTCTCCATGGGCATATGGCCAGTACAGAGTTCTGTGATGCAATTCAGTTGTATTCAGATTTGGGAAATCTATGAGAACAGCAGAGGAAGTGATATCTGAGCCAGAAGCTGAAAGATGAGGAGGATTTAGCTCCTTGAAAGGAAGGTGAAAAGAAGGGAAGTTCCTGGGAAGGGAGAACAGCATGTGCCTAGGGCTCTGAGGGCCTTTACATTTTGATGCTTCTGACATGTAGTAAAAGGGTACTGTTACTAGCTTCCTACCCCGCATCCTCTCCCAGGCCTCTTTCTTCTTTCAGGCAAAACTAGAGGCAATCATGAGCCTTGGGCATGGTCTCAGTAGGGCTACTTTGGCACTCTCCAAGGTTCTGACCTCAACCTCCCTGGCATCTCAGCTCCCTGTCAGCCTCCCTGAGCTCTGACCATCTGCAACTAGACTATATATTCTCAGTGGGGATGATATACCCCCAAGGGAGTAGAAATAGTTTCTTGGAGGGCAAAAAAAAAAAAAAAAAGAAAAGAAAAGAAAAAGAAAAAAAGAAAAAAACCAACTTAGATATTGCAAAAGTTTTTGGCCCTGGAAAAGGCCACAGTACATAAACAAATGTAGTATTAATGTGCTATTAAAATTTAATTGGGGTGAGGGGTGATTGGGAAGAAAATGTCTAAAGATGCCCCTAAGTTGAGGGATAATGCCAAAAAAGGTTAAGAAACATTGAACTAAACCCTTGTAATTTTGCTAGCCTGTGTGCTAAGCTCTCCTGCCTAATGAAAAGGATGCAAATCCTAGCCATAAAATCTGACACAAAATACAGTGGTTGTTGTGTTGTTCCATCAGGAGGCTGTCTTCTAAGAGCTTCAATGACATGTATTTGGAAATGCATCTTTATCAGTGTGCTTTTCCCTGTCAGTTCCTATGACTGAGTTCAGATGCTCTAGGACCCATATTTGGTATTAGGGTAAACACTGTGGCATAATGGAAAGATATAAACATTGGAGTCAGACAAACTGGATTCAAATACCTCTGCCACTTACTGGTTTTGTGACGTTGGGTACTTCCTTTTGGTAGAACAAAGAGAATAATACTTATCTTATGGAGATAACATATAAATAATCTTACACAATCACTGATAGTAATCATCTTTGTATTCTCTAGTGGAATTTCAAAATACTTACTTGGTCCTCTAGACGGGTTATAAAAATTACCTTTCAAGGAAGAAGCAAATCTGAAAGGGCTACCTATTGTATGATTCTTACTGTATGACATTTTGAGAAAGGCAAAACTATGCAGATAGTAAAAGGATCAGTGGTTGCCAGGGATCTGGGAGGAGAGGGAGTTGAGTAGGTGGTGTGCAGAGAATTTTTAAGACAGTGGAAATACTCTATATGACAATATTATGGTAGATACATGTCATTATACATTTGTCCAAACCCATATAATGTACAACACCTAATGGAAAGTATGGACTTCGAATAATAATGTGTCAATGTAGGTTCATTGATTATAGTAAATGGGCCACTCTGGTGGGGGATTTTGATATAGAGAAGCCTGTCCATATGCAGAGGCAAGGGTATATGGGAAATCTCTATACCTTCCATTCAATTTTGCTTTGAACCTAAATCTACTCTAAAAAGCAAGATCTATTTGGTTTGTAGTTGGCTTCACAAAAAGGGATAATATCATTTGAACAGCATCATTTAAGGTAAGGCATTTTCTCTGGAAGACCTCAGTAAATCACTACAACCACCACCATCATCGTTATTAACAGCATGCGCACCAACCTTTTACTGAATAAAAGCATTACACTATGTACCTTATCTTATTGACTACGCACAGTGATTCTAGGATATTGGTTCTGTTACCACTTCCATTTTATAAATCAGGAAAGGTTTAGATATGTCAAATAGCTTGCCAAGGACACACAGCAAGCAAGTGGCAGAAGCAGGAATCCAATGCACTGAGTATTGACCAGACTCAATTTTTGAGGCTTTTAACTAGAGTCTACTACAGCTTCTCTGCATGCAAATGTGTTACACCTTAATTTATTAACACCTGTTAACATCTTAGCAAGGATAACTACACGTCCTACCTTAGTAGAAGCATAATTTTGAATTCTACTGGCTGATTACTTTTTTCTTTTTATTGCTGTATTTTTTAAATGACATAAAAACATTAAAAGAACATTTTGAAATATAATTCACCTATAATTTACCACCACAACACCAAAGATATCGTCACTGATCACCAGCCCTTATATTTTCTTTCTTTCTTTCTTTCTTTCTTTTTTAAGATTTTATCTATTTATTTCAGAGAGAGAGTGAGAAAGCATGAGCAGGGAGGGAGCCTGCTCAGGACCTGAGCTGAAGGCAGCTGCTTGACCAAATAAGCCACCCAGGCGCCCCTCTTATGGTTCCCTTTCACTTACAATTATATCTTAAATATTTCCTCATGTTTGTAAGTAATTTTTATATTTTCATCTTAATGACTACAGTCACATCACAATTAACTAAAACATTCTCTTGTTATTTCAATATTTGCCCACCGCAGGTAAATATATCTATACTTGCTACTTTTTGCCGTTTCTGTTGAAGTATTTCCTTGGGAATTTCCAGGGAGGGAGATGCTAGGACAAACGATAGGAATACCTTCTTAGGGGCGCCTGGGTGGCTCAGTCCGTTAAGCGTCTGCCTTCGGCTCAGGTCATGATCTCAGGGTCCTGGGATCGAGCCCCGCATCGGGCTCTCCACTCAGCGGGGAGCCTGCTTCTCCCTCTCACTCTCCCTCTGTACATGCTTTCTTTCTCTCTCAAATAAAATAAATAAAATCTTAAAAAAAAAGGAATATCTTCTTAGTACTTGCTTATGTGTTGTCATTTTGCCTTTGTAGGGGATCATACAAATTTATTATGCCACTAGTACTCTGAGATCAAACCAATTTTGTCACAGTCTCACCAACATTGGATAGTCTCATTTTTAATTTTTATTATTAAGTAGGCATAAAACCTTAATTTGTCTTTGATCACCAGTGAGGTTGGATAGCTTTCTCATGCTTTAATTTATTATGTAAATCTACTTTTGTGTAAATTGCTTAAGGAAGGTATGTTTTAAGAGGGATAAGGGAGGGGATGGGGAGTAAAGTTTGGAGTATTAAAACTCTAGGTGAGGGACCAAACACCAGGGGGCTCATTTCCAGGATTTGGGTTCCTGGAGCTAGGAAATAATAGCCTAACTTTGGCCTGGGATGGGCCCTCATAAACTATAGTGGTCAGCCATACTTACCACATTTCTTCTCCCTTATGCTTTATTCGAGGATCTGGGTGGAGCTAGATACCAGAGCTATTTGGACTTTCATCAGCTGATACAGAGCTATCTTTTTTATGCAGGCAATGTGGGTGAACCATCTATCTTCCTACAATAACCATATCAGCTGGGCAGCCTTTTAAATCTTACAAAGAGCTTGTATACCTATTATCTCATTTGATCCTGACAGCAGTCCTGTAAGGAATAGATATTATTTCCATTTCACAGATTAGAAAGCCATTATTATTGTCATTATGAATAGTCCAGGAATGATCAGTAATTCAGAATGGTCCCTGATGGGTGGTGTTGGTCCTATTCCTCCACATAGAAAGCACTGGAGAATGATCTTCCTGCCTCCACTCCTTCCCTCCCACCATTATGATATTTAGGAAAGGGCTTCCAGCTCTTTGTCGTCTTGGCAGGATGGCTGTAGCCTTTTGTTGATGGAGGAAACATTGAAGGTCTTTGTGTGGAAACAATGGCTGTTTGTTTTAGGAGACAGTATTGTTATCTCAAAGGTGCACCTGGGACTGGCCCTGTTTAGGAGCGGTTCTGAGACAGGACAAGGCTGGGTCTGGTCACCATGCAGTTGGGGAGGAGGGCAGAGACCCTCAGCCTTTGGTGACTTGTGTCACTGGATGTTCTTTATTCATCACTGGTTGTAAAGAAATGCCTACCTCTATTCACTCTGC